CTATCACCGAGGAGTGTATGAAGACTAAACTGGTTTGTTTAGTGGTACAAACATTAAATTATCTGTTCCTACTTTCAATGCATGGCACTACTGCAATAATTTGCTGTTGTCAGTATTGATAATCATATAATCCAAGGGCTTCGAGTCAATGAGTGCAACTACTTTTAGCACTGTTTTATTTATACACTTCACAGCTGTTAATATGAATGTGAAATAAAAATGATTCAATATATACATACATATAACAAATTTAATTAAAATTAAAAATATATTTATTTGTATACGACCGAGTTAGAATAAGTATTTGATGAATACAAGTTTTATTTTTTGGCAGCGACCTTTTTCTCACGCGCCTTTTTACCCTCCGTTAGCTCAGAACGCTGACTTTCTGTAAGGGCCGGCAAAACATTTGTGACAACGCCCGTGCCTAAGGTTAAATTGCCATCACGAAGTGTAAAGCGTTGACCTTGCTCTAAGACCATTGGACGTATCAGGCGCAATATAAGTTTCGTATCCTCGCCAGGCATAACCATCTCCTTGTCCGGTATTTGTACTTGCACAGCACAATCCCATGTACGAGAAAACATCTGCAGCTGAATGAATGACATAAACGGTTTGGTCCTACCACCTTCCTCCTTGGACAGTATATACACTTGCGCCTCCAACTGATCTAGAGCTTTGACACTTCCTGGTTTGCACATGACCATTCCACGTTTAATATCATCACGCTTTACACCTCGCACTAAGGCGCCCAACTGATCACCAGCTTGAGCCTCCTCAAGAATCTGATGGAACATTTCTACTCCGGTGACTGTGGATTTTAGAACCTTGTTGTAGCCCACGAACTCGCATTCCATTCCCTTCTTAACGACTCCGCGTTCTAGACGACCCGTAACGACTGTACCACGCCCAGGAATGGAATATACATTTTCCACGGGCAACAAGAATGGTTTATCTAACTCTCGCACTGGCGTAGGAATGAAATTATCTACCTCTTCAAGCAATTTAAGTATCGCATTAGCGCCAATTTCAGGATTTTTGTCCTCAAGAGCACACAATGCTGAGCCCTTGATTACCGGAATTTTATCGCCATCGTAACCCATTTCGGTAAGAAGTTCACGTATTTCCATTTCGACAAGATCCACCATTTCTTGATCGGCTGCATCGACTTTGTTGATAAACACCACAATATGGTCGATGCCTATTTGTTTTGCTAACAACATATGCTCACGTGTTTGCGGCATCGCACCATCTGTGGCGGCTACTACTAATATAGCGCCGTCCATTTGTGCGGTGCCTGTTATCATATTCTTAATGTAGTCAGCATGTCCGGGACAATCAGTATGACCGTAGTGACGGGTCTCTGTCTGATACTCAACGTGCGCCACATTAATAGTTATGCCACGAGCTTTCTCCTCAGGCGCGTTGTCAATCTCATTGTATTTTTTGCTCTCTGCCAGCTGCTTATCAGCTAATACTTTCGTTATAGCCGCCGTTAGGGTAGTCTTGCCGTGATCCACATGACCAATGGTGCCAACATTACAATGAGGTTTAGTGCGTTCAAACACTTTTTTTTCATTAGCATACTGCCGCACATATTGCTGCAAATTCCCAATAGTGGCAGGGATACAATTTGCAGTTGGGCAATTTTTTATAAAGGTACTACTGGTTACCATACGTGAACGTGTTACATTACGTACAAATCGCGCCGTGCTCAAACTACGCCGGTTCCAACGTAGTGCAACACCGATTCGGCTAATAGGAGATGCAAATGCCTGGGACATCATTTTTCTTTGAGTTTACGCTTTCCTATTATTACTTAAGTGGTTATTGGAAAAACCTTCAAATTTAAATCATAAGTTACTTACAAAGAGTTTGAAATGTGATCTATTTTTACAATTTTATTGAAATTGAAGAGAATTGCGTAAACCTCAAAATGTGCTGCTATCGAGAGTTGCCAGACTGTAATATTAGCATTGCCACTTAATTATGTATGTAATAATAATTAACAAGGTGGCAAGCTCAAGTACGTTATGCAGGGATATTATAAGCGGGTCAGGTATCATACAACTTGTAGTAAGCTTTTTTATTGGTTTTAGCGTTGTTTATTATAGCTTATTGTTAAATCAGTAGATTTTATAAGTCTATCTTTTTATTTAAAAGTCCATATTTGTACTTGCGTTAAATAAAAAACAAGCCCCACAGACTGTACCTGTGTGACCATTAAAAATATTCTTGGTGAGTTGAAGCGTTGCCAGATCGCCTTAGAATTTCGGGATTTTTCACCTTGTAAAATAATACAACGAATACTGTTTTTGACGAGATATTTGCAATGCTTTGCAATATACAATTATAATTATGAAAGCGTAATACCCAACAACTTTTTAGAGATCGATATGTATATATGGCGCACTGCTGATGCACTACCACAGCTTGTCAACAATTTGCGCGCCAGCAAACTTATGTACGTACATATATCAGGCGCCTGGGCAACTGACGTACACACGCTGTAGTGTACCGACTATGGAGGTTAAAAATTCAATTCAAACTATAAAAACCCATTTACTGCAATTGAACAACTTACCCAATTCAGAGCTTACATTGGTATCCATTATTTTTTAATGCTAACTGGAGTACAAGTTGTTAATTGTTATTGTTATGATTAATGTGCGCGCACAACTCAAAACAAAAAGAAAAAGTTATGGCTGCTTTTCCTGATTGCACGAACAGCAGTTACGCCAGCGAAGTTCAATAACGTTTAGATGCAGTCACTGCAATATATATAACGCATATTAATCTTATTCACTTTGTCTAAGCTTTCACTTCGCATCTGAAAGTCCGGTCTGCACTCTTAATACGCTTTACGAAAAGTATTCAAAACACAATTTAAAAGACTAAAGGCACAACTGCATGTTGACGATGAGGTTACAGTTGTTTATCTGTCCATGCACACGGTTGTACGGCGATAGAACTTTACATTGATCTACTGTTAGTTAACAGTAAACCGAATGAGGTTTTAAAAAATATCGTTACATGATTTTGGTAGATATATAAACGTTATAATTGCGTAGTGACATCATAATAATAAATTGCGAAAATTAGTATGTCCCATTTCAATTTCCAACGTTAACCAATTAAAAAACAAACAAACAGTAACATAACATTACCATTGGGGAAACTATTTTTTGTGAGCCATTAGTTCGATTTACGAACGACATGAACAAATTTGAATTTCAAATTAAGGAAATAAAATGGCGCGCAAAATATGTACGTACAATATATACATATATATAACACCTCTAAACTTACCTTATAAGAGATTAAACAAAGGCTGTTCTACTCATTATATTAGATGTATATATCTATATTAATACATATATTCTAAAAAATATTGAAAATATATAAATTTTTACAAAATTCCTTTTGTTTTGAATTTAGCTTGTTTATTCACCAACAACTTCAATTACATCTTGTTTCGTGTATATAATATTTCTGTTAGAATAAAATGTAACGTAACGAAGTTTTGATAGTTTAATAATACCTTAGAAGATTTCAATTATTTTGCTTATATTATATTGATCGAATGTCTAATATAGATGGCTAATGTTTAAGTGGTATATTATATGTATTGGTTTTCCCATTTTAATACTTATTGAAATAATTTGTTTCTTTACGAAAATTCCAAGTCAGGTTTTTTCATGTAAGATGGTTTGGAGGACTACATATGGATATTAATAGATAGTTTGAGTATTTAATATTGTACATATGGTAAATATTTCTGGTTATATAATTTAATGTAATATAATATAGTAAGTACGCGTATTTGCAGTAGGTATATTTGAATCTCTACATTCGAAATAATTAAGCTTTAAAGTTATAAACGCTTTAAAGAGAGTATATGTGTGCGGATATAATAAATATGTCTACACATTTATTATAGTATGCTCATTAATGTGCACAAAACGTGATATATTGCTGTCAATATTATATTATGCTACTTGTATTATAGTTTATTTGACCCCATACCAGCTTTTATTTTATGCGATGCAATATATGTATGTATGCATATAATAGCAATATTACAACGGTTTCATATCGGTATACGTTTTATGTTTTAAGTTATATATTTTATGTCTTATACTATATTGTCTAATTCACAAGTATTCAAGAAGGCTTTTTTAACACGCACAATTGCCAAATCGAAACTGAACTAATATTGATTTGATAGTTAGTTGCTTATTACCCTGCACAATGCTTTTGTACTACATTATTTAATAAGTATATGTGTGTATTGGAGAATTCATATTGTTAGTAATAATGTATGGTGAGTGCATGATTGCATTTTGCAATTCTTCAAAAACATGTTTGTCGTAGTATATTCATATGCATCTAGCATGTAATAGATAGACAATTGATATTTAATATGTTAGCTGATTATTTTATGCTGTATTTGTTAGTATAAATATCGTGAACAGTAAAACAACAACTATAATCAGCAAGTATTTCAGCTTCGCATTTTTACAATTTTCTGAATTGAATTGTAATCTCATTGTATACCTGCGATTAAATAAACATACATACATATGTATATGCTTTTAAGCTCTTTTCACTGCGTGAACTATTTAAGACAATTACATATGTATACTGTTAATTTCGTTCGCGATCAAATTTACATGTTGTATGCGCGTAAAAATGTTGATAACATGCCCATTGGATGGCAATTTGACGGTTTAAAATATTTGGATTTTACGTAGCCTTTAATAGGGCTTACAACGCTTGGAGAAACTTGCAGCCATTCAAGTGACTCGCGTCAATATCCGGTTTGATTCACTCAATCTTTTAAAGATAACAAATAAATTGAATTATACAGGATTGTCATTTGTACGCGCATATGTACATCCACTAAAACTAAGATTGATCAATGCAAAAACACTCGATACAGTTCGACTTCTATGTAGTTCCCTTATTTTGTCAGATATAACTATATTTATCTAAATTTATATATTTATGCATTTAACTTTAGGCTATGTTTATAATATATTGGATATTTTCATATAGTAGTTAGCTATAATAATATAAACGACGCGAAAAACAATTCTATACTCTTGTCGTATTAAAAATGTATTTTAAATTGATTTGCTTAAAGAAGGCTGGCCCTTTACGACCCAAATGCTGCACAAATCGGCACCCTGTTGCTTATATTTGTAGTTCTAATGTGCGCTACGAGAACTCAACAAACCAGACCTAAATCATTTTGAAAACCCGTCATTGACAAAATTTTCATTTTGGATATGAGCAATATTTTCAAAAATCTAGATGAATGCAGCGCAATATTATTTTGTACCACTTTGGCCCAAGTCCCTGGAAAGTACTAAATTTCTTGCAGATAATGAGTCGCTGTCAGTGTGAGTACATAAGTTATACTCTTCACATTTTATATATGCATATATTAATGCATATATCAATTTATTTTTTATTTATTGAATGAATAAATTTCCAAAGCCTTCCAATTGACAGGTGCTCTCAGTACTGGTTACTCACGCCGTCCGTCTGCGGAGATTTTTTACAACGACCCGTTTAAAATTCAATCGTATAACTTTCGTTACGCTGATCGACCCGCATATCCAGTTCAGAACTATCAACGGGCTCAGACGAGCCAATCGATCCAATCAAAGCCACATACTTTCGAGACATATTACCAAAATCCAAAGTTTAATGCCAAGAATCATGAAACAAGGGCAGCTGCAGCGACTCATTCGAGTGCTTTTTCTGAGTATCGACGTCGTAATTTTCTTCACGATTTCAAATGTTTTCCAACGCAACCGAACAGAGTTCGCGACGTAGTGGAACCCATTGTACCTTCTGGGCCTAAGTCTTCTGTGCGTACTCAGCCACTGCTGCGGTCCTGCTGCAATCGAGACGAGTATCAGACGGTCCTTCGAGGCCAAAGCGTCACCAGTTTAAAACAAACCTCCACCCATACAAATAGTGTCACCCACAGAGCTGGCGGAGGGGCAATGGGTAGAAGTGCTTCCGTTTGCAGTGTTAGAGGCCCCGCAAAAAATTCTTCTACATCTACTTTTCAGCTGGCACCGAGGCGCAGCGCTAGCACTTGCAGTGGCTGTGCGATCAACATAAATATAAATGGACTTGATTCTGAGGCAGAGCTGACAAAGAGCCTAAAAATTAATATTCAAACCGATGCGTGTCTGCGTAACAATACTGACAGTCCTACGATCGCCCCTAACTTGCAATCAGCGCCTCGCTGCTCGGGTAGTTTTATCATTGACAAGCGACTGTCCAAGTTCAGTCTGCCCGAAGCCTGGGTGCAAGGCAGTGGCCAGTACAATGTGCCTAAGACTGAGCGACTCCAGCTGCAGTCAAAGGGAAAACGTGTGGTGCAGGATATCTCGTCTGTGAGAGTGTGTAAACAAAAATGTGAGCGCTCAGCAGAGTTGGACACACAGCGGGATCGTGAGAGACTCCAGCAACTAGAATTGGAGCGTGCAGGACGCAGTGCTCTGGGGCTAGAGGAGAGGAGGAGAGAATGCGAATGGGGCCGTTGCCGCTCTGATAATGGACAGAAGCATCTGCCAATGCGTGCCATTTCCATGCCGACATCAATCTCTTCGGCCGTTGGTATGACGCCACAATTGCCGAGGCGAGCTTCGACGGATCGTTTACCAGGAATGGCCCCATGCCTTCTAAATCATTCGAGAGCGCAGGCAGCTCGCGCTAAGCGACTGCAAAGCTGCACACGGAATCTGACAACATTTCAACGTTCGAAAACGACTTTAAATTCGCAGACGGACCAAAGAGGTCCATCGAGAAAATTGGAACGGCGCAGCTCGGATAGCTCTAATAATTACAATGCCACCGTCGTCGGAAGTGGCAGCAACTGCAGCGTAGGAGGTTATTCGGCGACTCATCTGAACGAGCGCAAGTTACTTAATTTGCACGTAAACGGCCTGCCCGTTAGCACTAACCAGCCCATATACGCACGAATAAATAATATGCCCATTCGGATAACGACATCGAAGCCGGCAGACGAGGACTTGCAGTTCTTCATGAATAAGGTGCGTGTTCGCAATCCCTCGCCAGCAACAAGGAGTCCACTTCACGACGGCGGCAACAGTTGCCGGTCGGGTGAGCAGTTGCCAAAGCCCTACAATGTCAACATCAGTGTCTATGCCGATAGTCGATAACGGATAATCGATGAAGTGAATATTTGCGACTGTTGCAACGTCAGCATAACTGTCATCTCTGTGTGTGTTTTTAGAGTGTGTACAGTACAGTTATATTGACCTTCTAACAGCCTTAAGTGTTCAAATGAGCTTCATTGGTCCGTGACTCAATATTGCTTTTGTTGTCTGAAGTCAGTTGCCAACTTCGTATCCAATTCTTTAGTACTCTTTTTTAAAATAATAAATATTTTCGGTATCCGAATTCGGTCTAGTTCTTTTTAAAACTGAGTGATAGTCCACACTGAACAAATGCAATTACGGCACTTTGTGCAAACAAATACCTTCCATTCTGGGAGTAAAATGTACTTATGCGTAGTGAAAGCAAGTAGCTAAACAGCTTCTCAGCTTTGCTGTGTAACGTGTGCTCAATACTGTTTTCTTCACAACTATAACAATTATATTTATGTTTTTTACAGTATTAAAAAGTTCACTCAAATCGTTGACTAACTCAATATATCTATTCGGCTCTCGAATTTATCTATTTCAAACGGAATAGTTTGCTTTCATTAAATGAAAACAATTTCGCTGGCCTAAAAAGTGTGTTCCTCCATCATAAATAATTCTTAAATTTTTTCTTATTTAACAATAATTTTCTTCTTTGTCTTAATGTACATAGAGTGTTCATTATTTTTGTCTGAATATAATAAATATCAATATCTGAAAGCCTGTTTTTCATAACGGTCTTTTCGTATATGTAGATATTATAAGCATAGCGTTTAACTTGAAGCGTACATGTGCAACTTTTTAATCTAAACAATCATAACAAATTACTTGAGCTCATATGATATTACTGATATTATTGGTTGCATTTTCCTTTTTTTTTTGCCTTTAATTTTTTGTTGTTTGCGTTTCTTTGGTCTGCTTTAGTAGTTTCATTTTTTTTTTTTTTTTTTTTGGTCATTTTAAAATGACATTGCCGAGGAGTATTATTTAACTAAATTGGTCGGTTATTCGTCGTCGTCGTAGTTTTGATAGGTTACATAACGTACCTGGGAGCGATCGCGTCCATATATTAACGACTGTAACGGTTAAGGGATGAGTTATTGTTAATTATTATTCTTAAATTTCGTGTATAAAACTGGGGACAACTGTATAAATTAAAGTTTATTTGTACGAACTTAGCAACCAAAACAAGGACTAACGTAAATACTGATGTAAATAAGTGTACAATATACAGAAAATATGAAAACGTTTACAAAATAAGCATATCAGTTAATATAAAGAGTCTTAGAACAGAACATAATAAAGTAATCATAATCGTTCACTTTCAAACGCCTCATTCGATTTGCCTTTCACATCGACTGAAGTGTTAACTGATGGGCAAAATGGAATTTCTTTTGCTTTTGAATCATCGAGAACGGATTGAGCCGCTGCTGCAGCAGCCTCTCTAGCCATACGCACCTTCTTTTCATCGCTGGTTGGTGGGTTCTTGAGAAGCGTCAATAGCGGTGCATATAAGAAACAGAGTATGGCAATGCCGAACAACATCCACTCGAACCCAATACTCTTTACAAGGGATCCCGATAGAGCCGGGCCGACCGCAAAGCCAACGCAAAAGGCAACATCGCCCAGGGCATAGACGCTGCCGTAAACAGCCGAGTGCCGAATATCCACAAGGTACCCCAGTTCGGGCATCATCGATGAGTCAACCATGCCGATAGCAAAGCCAAGGCCAGCATTCGGAATAATCAGGTGTGTAATGGAGGTAGCCATGGGAATCTGCAGAGGAAGCCATTGAAAAGGGAGTCTAGGAGTCTAGAGAAGATACATACAAATATTAGGCAAGCGCCAATGATAACCAGGCCCAGGCAGGCCGCAAACCATCGTCCAATCTTATGTCCAAGTGGCCCAAACAGATTTGTGCCAATCAAATAGCTAATAGAAGCGGGCAGAAACGCCACGCCCTGCTCCCAGCGTGTTGCCCCCATGTTGTCAACCATCCACAATGGTAAGGACGGCTCTAGCATGGCAATGCCCATGTTAGCGAAAGTTATGGCCCCAGCAGCTATCAGGATGTATGGATCGCTTATTAAACTTTTCAGAGATGGTGGCTCCTCTGACTCGGCCTTCTGAATGGATGGCTGCAACATGAACAGCTGCAGTAATCCATCGCCCAGGGCCAAAGCAGCCAGCACTAGAAACGGCGCCGACTTGCCGACAAACTCGTACATAACACCTCCGAAGGGCGGTCCAATGAGGACACCAAGTGCGAGTCCACCTAGGGCGATGCCCATGGCATTACCGCGTTCTTTATCGTCTGTAAAGCGATCTGCGAGCATTCCCATGCCAGAAACGGAGGAACACGATGAGCCAATGCCCTGAAGGGCTCGAGCGATGAATAGAACCAGATATGAACGCCCAAAAGCAAAGACTAGAATGAAGAAAGCAACATATTACAGATATTACAGTTTCAGTCAAAGATTCTTAATTGAGCACTTACTCAACGTAGAGAGGAACATTATTACGAAGCCGGCAAACATTGGTATGCTGTAGCCGATGCTGTAATTGGAGATAGGATGTTTTTTAAGCTTACAGCGATTTATTGATCATTATTTATTTAATAAACGATTAAGTACTCACCGATGGGTCAGGGGTCCCACAATTGGATTAACCAGCAATTGTACAATCGCCTTAGATGCAAAAAGGAGACCTACCTCAACCGTTTCGCCGACCAATTCATTATGCCGTTCCTCCAGCTCACGGTAATACGTTTCATTGTCTATGGAAGACATCGACTGTTTGGCATCTGATTGAATCTAACATTTGATTATATTGTATCTACCTTCGGCGCTTGGCGTGACAATCTCTACCGGGACCGTCTCATCATTCGCACCATCCTTACATGGACAGGTCGTGGGCGAGGGAGGCGTGTTGAGGGTGAGAGGAGTGCGCGGGTAGCTGTCGAGAGGTGCGTCCGGATGTCGTATGTCGTATAAGAACTCGGGTATGATGGGCACTATAAAACGGAAAGACTCGGGTAATGGTTTTGTAATTGAGTTGCAACAAAGAATTTACGTACAATTAGCCTAACGGCCAGCCGTTAGATGACGCAACGAAAGCAATTTTCTCCAGCCGTTCGTCTAATTGCATTTAGAGGCCGCGTAAAATTGTTCCTGCTAAAAGTTATAATGGCTTCTAGGCATCTTTGCAGGGAGCAGATTGCTTCCCCTAATTGAGTTATTCGGCCATGCCAACAAAGGTTGCACACATTTCACACTCGCTGCATGTAACCGGAAGCATGCGAGTGTAGACCTCTGTTGGCTTGCCCGCCCTTCTATTACTCCGCTCCCCTTGGAGGCACTTGGATGTCTGTCCCCGCCCCCAATCCTGCCCGTGCCTGCGCCCATGCCCTACTAGTTTATTGCATGTTTCGACTATGTTTATATTTATTATCAACACCCGGAGACAGCGGGATACGTTCCACATTGAAATGGGGCTCCCAATGCTCGTTTCGCTACTGTAATTGCATTTGCTAGCATAATGCGAGCCAGCGTCACTTCACATAGGGCCAGGTGTAGGGGCATGTTTCAATTTGATTTGCAAGTTGGTAAGTGCTGGCCGATTGCTGATGCCAAGGGTCGTTATTGTTTATTTGAAGTGTTGTTGCTGCCAGAGTTTGCGGATAGCGCACAGACAGCACTGCGGTGTGCTCGACGATAGCTGGTTAACAGTTGAACCAATCAATTTGATATGCTACCAACTTTCCGGATAGAGCTGTCGCTCTTACTCACTACGCATTACTCATTACCCATTACTTATTCAGTAATCGTTTTAATTGAACATGCACTGGTGTGCAAATACACGATGGGGGAGTATTTGCACTTGTCTTATGATCAGTGTGATGTGACTTACATACATAGGGTTATATTAGGCGGCCTGTAGCACCCACTACATTATTCTGTAACTGCCTCGTCTCGCGTAGGGTTTTTTGGGCGACAATAAATTTCCTGGCGTGCAGAACTAATGCCGTATGTGACATGCATAATCGTAAGTGTAGCATAACGGTAATTCAGACATAGCTCCCATACGTGTATCTCGTTGACTTCAAGACAGAGAGGAAATTCGCCACAATATAATTGGTCATGCCATATAGTACCACTCCCAATATATAATGCTGTTCTTCTTTTCAAAGAAAAACATTCCGTATAGCTCTGGTGACACCGGGTCCTCAGCTACAATGCAAGTATTCAACTGTCCCGAGCCTCAGACATACAAATGCCTAAAGGCACGCGCAGCAGACGAACGTTTAATGGAGCAGAGGAATGAAAACAGGCGATTGGAGATTGGGCATCGGCTGCATGGGCTGTGTGGGCTGCATTTCGCGTGTCGAACACGCTTAAGTCGCAGGGCAAAGTCAAAGCAGAATGCCGTGAGGGGAGCCAAGACAAACAAACAAAATCATCAAGGACCAGGGGCTGGCTGAGTGAAAAGTGAATCATATATAATCGTGCCGAAAGCCCAATAGCAAAAAGGTATTTTCGATATATCTTAGCTCTTTTACGCCTGCTCACTTTCCTAACTACTAAAGAGTGTGCCCCAAGTCATTTTTGAGTCCACCTCCGACAAAAGAAAATACTTATAAATGTTTCCGCTAATGCGGGACGAGGCGACTTGGGATAACCAAACATATACTCTGCAGATTATCCATTCAGTGACTATCGACCATCCCTAGTGACAGGAAAGTTTTTTGCGGCGGCGTCGCCAAGCAAACAGCCTTAGACACAGCCACAGCAACGACAGTAACAGCAACAGCAGTGAGACAACAGCTGGCAGTGTAGGCAGGCGTACGACATAGACAGCGACAGGAACTGCGGCAGCAACAAGGACATTTTGGTTTTTTGTTGTATTTAATTGTTAAGTGGGAAGGGGCTTAGCCCATGCAAAAGAGAGAGAAGGGGCCATACCATGAGGGAGCCAGCACGCTCCATTTGGGAGTCGGCCAGTCGACCATTGTTTGTGCGTTCTGTCTGGTTGGAGCGGATCGGGGACACGGGGCGCAGCCACAGACGCCACTTTATACTCGACTATGAGCCGCGCGAGCAACAGCGACAAAGCGCAAAACGAGGTGGTAAGTGAAATGAATACCCAACCTGCTAAATATTAATGGAGCGAATCCACCACGGGCAGGCGTCAGCTATGAAAGTGACTTAAGCGACTTTCACGGAAAGCCAACAGCCTCAGAGTATGGTACTGATTATACACTGGACGAGTACCTCCTGCTAGGCGCCACTAAGCTTACCTTGCAGCACCAGCAGCAGCATCAGCACCAGCAGCAGCTCCAAGCTAGTCAGGCGCCTGCGGCAGGGACTAACAAAGTTCAATCTGCATTCAGTGCGCTGCACAGCAGACGGCACGCTAAGCGCCGCGCCTGGGTGTTAAGCAGCGGCAAGGGCTATCAGCTGAACCATTTAACGGATCATAGTTCTAACTCGCATTCACGCCGTAGTTCTCTGCAGGATGCGCTGCATACAATTGCTCATCCTGCCAATCCGGAGGAGCGTCTGGCTGAGCGTGTGATCAACTGGCTCGATTTGGCGGGAAGAGCAGACATTGTAAAGAGCTCTACGCCGCTGCCCGGCAGTGGCATTATTAACAGTGCAGCGCTTCCAGGCAGTCAGCGGATTAGTCGGCAGGGTCATCGAGCTATGGGCCTGAAGCGCAGCATTACACAGCGGGAAACTCCTCGTAAGCCGACCGCAGCAAGGCACGCAGTGATGAGCTGCAGCCCCTCCAATGCTAAGCCCATAACCATCGTCTTCAACAAGGAGGGCGTCCCCGTCCGCTTCAACCGTCCGCCGCGCAACATTGATCTCTGTGCGCTCAGCAAGAGCCCCGGCACTGCGCGACGCATGGCCGGCCAACTGTCTGCCGTGAGATTATACAACGGCGCTGCTGCTCCGTCAGCCGTAGACGCCGCACGTACGCCGCCCCACAGCAGTCGGGACTTCAACGGCAGCCAGCACGAGAGCCGCAAGCAGTTGCACATCTTCATGCCCAGCTTGCCGAAGAAGGGCTTGCTCCTTTCCGCAACGGCAGCCAATGAGGACGCCCTTAGCGCGAGCCTGAGTGAACTGTGCTTCTAAGCACCGATTCTGCATTCCCAATAAAGTCAACGTTAAACTCTCCATTTCTCAGTTTGTCATTTTTGATTGGCCTCCAAAAATATTTCCGGGTATTGCGAATTCCGTAAGTATCCTTGAATACCGACTTAATGTCTTACATAATTAGTTGAATTCAACTGCTGACATCGTATGTCAAGGATTAGTCAGCGACAAAACGACAAGTCCTCTGACTTTGTTTACTTCTGTTTCCCTTGTCTGCTGCCATAGAGAGCGCTATTTTTAAATCACGCCGACAAGTCTGAGTTTTCCCTAACGAGTGTAGTTTGGGCTTGCTTTGCAGTTGTCTTGCAAGATTCGAGTTGTTTTATTTGCTTTGTATTTACATATATATGCATTTAAAACAAAATTAATATTATCATTATTATAAAGGAGTATATTGGTTTTGTGCAGCGTTCACCTCATGAATGCAAAGAATTTAGTCGAAGAAAATGAATTCAGCAACTTAAAGTTTGGATATGATCTAATTGGTGGCGTCGCCTCAAGAAGTGCCAAGCTCGTACGCATTAACGTATGCAAATTAGACAAACCAAGAGCAAAAATACATACAGTAGATGTCTCTACGCGCCCTGGGGGCGTTGTCGAGTCAATCAAAGCTTTATCTCCACAACTGTAGAGGTAAATCTCTATGAATTCTTTGTAAAGCAGCCAAATCTGTCCGCTTAAAAACTATACAGCTCTTCTCGACGATTATTCAAAATTATTCAACTATTTTGAACCTAGCTTCAACTTTTGAACACCCTTAGTGGACCAGAAACCGAGTGCAAATGACCCAGATATTAGCATCACTTAGTCAATACTAAAACAACTACTTTCACATGGATTCATTGCCGATTTCTATATACTATGTAAGGATCTATGTATATCAAAATATAAACTACCATTAACAAATTTCCATTCTCCCCTAATACTATTTTCCGTGACGTGTTTGCACGTCCGAAATGTTTTAGTATTTGCACATGTGTCTATTTTCGTACTGCTATGGAAAGTCCTAGGAGCATTTGTTAACCATAGGTGAACTTCCAACTGTTAATTCTGATATTATCTACTGATATTATCGCCCATACGCATATAGCCATAAATCAATTATTGACATAATAAAAATATGATACACCTTTATAATGGGCCGCATTCACAAATCGAACTGAATTTGATATATGAAGGCTAAGAGGCAGACAGTGCTAGCCCGACGAAAGTCATGCAAGGCCACAGGCGACACCTAGCACACCTGCGCTTTACCTTTTGCCGCAATTTGGATATTCGTGAAGTAACTTTACCACAGTGGCGTCGTGAGCTTTGACTGGCGATATCCTGTCGCCATAATGGGCTTGGTCGACGGAGCAGGATGTATCGCCGTATCGCCGTATGCCCTAAAGACCTCGCACAACTTTTTCCGCACGGCAAAGCTCTAAAAGACAAAAGGCACGCTCGCAATTACAGCGCAGCACAGCTAAACAAAACTTTGTGCCTGACATTTGAGTTTTCGCCAGTTTGGGAAGGAAAATGCGCAGCAAAACAAGCGGCCTGGCAGGAATGGCGAATGGCGACCGCATGCCGTGACTTACTCGCGTTTCAGAAGCGGACGAGGCAGGTTGCAAGGATTTTCTCGGCTCGGCAAGGGTAGCAGAGCCTCTTGATATTCCGGCAAAGCAATATTGTTTCTGTGTTTAATTTTCCGGTAATTAGTAGGACTGACAAATGTCAACTGGTGACGAGTCCTCGGGCAGGACGTCCGCCTGCAGTCGACAGAACGGAGTGCAGCAGAGCATCGAAGCGAAACAAGTGGAGCCAAGCAGGAGTTCACGCAACACTTCAAATCTGTTGCGCCATCAGCACAGCTTCGAGGCGCGCTACAGCAACATAATACAAAAACAGATATGGGAGAACACCATTAATAAGGATGCTATAAAGCGTCAGCTTAATGACTATTTTCCCTTCGCACGCAGCACTTCCCTCACAAGAAATGAGCCTGATTGCTCTTATGATTTGCTCAGTCCAACGCCAGGGAATAGTGATAGTGGCTTAAAAGCACGGTCGTTGGGTACCACGCCCACCAAACATCGATCGGAGGATTCCCTGGAGAGCAACGATTCCCCGAAAAAACAAGCCAAGATTAACAGTGATGCGTGTTGATAATTGACGAACATAATTAAGTAAGAAACATGTTTGAACTTCGGAATAGCTTGTCACATATAATTATATATATGCACTAAGCATAATTATTTTCTATGATGATGTATATTAATAAAATATCTTCTACATACGTAGAGCATAAAAGGTCTCTCGCTGGCCGTGAATTGCGTGCGAGGTATCTTATCGTCTAGTACAGTCAGCTTAACACTGTCAGCTGCCCCACTTACAGATAACGCTCCGTCTCTGTCCGACCCGAGCATAAATCAAGCCGCTGGCCTAATCACATGCTCGTGCGAAGCCCTGTGCTCGGGAAGTCCTATTCGCAGCTTAATCAAATTTATGAGAATTTTATGCTCATTGCCGAAGATCAAATGTAATAACCGTGTATTTCTCGCAATTTTCACTTCGACACCTTTAACGGCAGAGTGAAAGCACTTAAGTGGAAATGCCTCAAGTCAAACGCTAAAAGCATATTTACCGTAACCTTCCCCATTCTGCCCTCCCCGAGACAGCACTCAACTCAACACTGTGCACCCCTTGCCATCCAACATTCAGAGCTAACTTTGATTTGATGTAACTGAAAGCACAGGGGAGACAGAGGAAACTAAAAGAGGATAGGATGTTATAGGAGAGGAGAGAAGTGGGCAGCAGAACAGGAGCTAAGGGCTCTGTGCTAGAGGGGCTGAGTCAATTTACTTTTGTGACTTTTGTGCGCTCTCTCAACATTTTTCTACTTTTGCTTTGACATTCACTTCCGTATCTATCAACAAGTTGCTTAAGTGCCGCATTCGTCTAGCTATTTGTCTTCGGCTGGGTGCAACCCCTACTTGTTGATATACATTCATGAACATTTAACACAAAGAAAAATACGGAGCTTCAATCGCTTTTTGTGTTGTCAGCCGCAGCAAATACTGCCCAGACTGGCGTAGTCCTGCGATTCATCCACCGTCCACCGTCCACCGTCCACCGTCCACCGTCCATCGTCCACTTGATGTCCACGTGTTTGTCCAGACACTTGACATAAGCACTTGAGTTGTTCGTTGTTCGTTGTCCGCTCTCCTTTGCCCCCAGCGACCGTCTCCCTTGGTAGGTTTAGTGTCACACGCAGAAGTAGCTGTGGTCGCGTGTCTATTTAATTGACTGTCCGCACTTTAAGAGTCCCTTCCCCTTATTTGCTTCTCATTGATTTTCCACCCCAGTCCCCATCCCCAGCCCCATCCTCACTCCAATCCCAATCCCAATCCCAATCCTTCTCTGTCTGTGTCGGCTCTTAATTGTGACGAGCAATGTACATCGCTATCGAGTAATGGTACTCGAACAATTGATGAACTGTTGGTCTTGTTGTTGTTGTTTTTAGCTGTGGCTGGGGATTGGAGAATTTATTTTGCAGAATCAGTTTGGGACTGCTTGAAATTCAAATATATGTATATACATATCGATAGATATATATCGATAGATTAAGTGAGCCCGTTTAGCGCCTGTAAATTACCATTGTGAATTATGGCAACCGTTTTCATTTCATTCAATGATGTGGGTATAATTGATCAGAAAACGCGATGCATAACACCAAATCGCAAATGCTAGTCACAATCCCCAGGCATCGCTCAACAGCATTCAATGACAGCTGGATTGATGAACTCAAGGCGGACTGTTTGTTGAATGACTGACACCATGGAAAGATTCATTAGCTTAAGTGCCGCATTGTGGTAATTTTATGGGTAAAGCGGAGATAAAAACGTATCACGGAATGGAAGTGAATAATTTTCCAGTTGATTGCGTTGCAGGTGATTGTCAAGTGGCTGCCAGGATAAGTGGCTATGAAATTCTAATGGGCTAATGGGCAGAAGTCTGCCAGCTTTACAATTTATGTACATATCTACATATGTATGTAGAATTTATTTATGTATGTATTTATAAATGTATAATTAAGGTATAGAGCATGCCTTACTTACCCACAGTTGTTAGTAGCATATTGTCGAGCAGCAGAGCTATGGCCACGATGACCAGGACGAGCCGGTTAGAGCCACGCCAGCTGACCATCCATGACTTGGCGGCGGACCAGGTCCCTGCTGCACGTGGATCCTCCTGTCGATATTGATCCGGCGGCGGTTGACTGCTGCCTAGCTTGCGGGCTCCGTAAGATTGACTTTCTTGGCTCTCTCTGCCAACAGCTCCGCCAGAGCCCATAATGCCACACTCTGTGTCCATGTTGCCATTTTGTTGATAGCTGTCCAACTGTTGCTTAAACGGATTTTTGCTCGGCAGACTGGTAGGCTGACTGTTGTCATTTATGGTAAAGGACGTCGTCTGATTGGTGGTTGCGTCTTCTTCTGCTGCTGCCGCGCCCTCTGTTCGAGCTCCCGCTGCTGCTCCTGCTGCTGATTGCGTCTGGCTATGCTGTTGCTGTGCTGGGTATTTACGTGTGCCATCGTTGCCCGCATCAGTCGATGATTGCATTGCGTCGCTAGCCGCTTATTGCTGGGGTAAACGAACGAACGAAGGAAGCATTGCGTCTTTTCAGATTCCAATATAAGAGGATTGTCTTTAAAATGTAATCAGAAATGTAAGCTGCTTGGGATACGCATTAGATATCATTGGCTTGCCTTGTACTCCGCCCCAATGATTTCTACTAATTAAACAAAATTATATGGCTCGGTTTTGTTTTTGTATTATTATAATTTAATTGCTGCGCAGCAGTCGGATGAATCGAAAATGATTTCCCCAGTGCTAGCATTTTGCACAATAATGCAAATATAATTGCTATTCAAATATGTATGCATGCAGTCGTGAGGCATTGTGCCCAAATTTAAATTTCTATTTAATTTGCTCCTCCAGTTTTAAATTCTTTCTCGTCTTTTCAATTTAGAAGCTCTTCGTAATGCGAGCCGCACGGCGCAAATGCAAATTGAATTCAACATGTAATTCGTTTAGAGGACACCATCCACCCAGTACCCGCCCACAGTACCCACGCACAGTGGCTCACACCCACACACGCCCACGACTATTAAGAGCCCTCCGCGATGAGAGGAAGGCGCTGCCTAAAAAAGTTGGTTCTCCTTTGCCAAATTCAAAACTCCGCATTCGACATTTAACAGAGTTAAGAGCTGCTGAATGCGACTTTCCCAAAATTGAATTAGCTTGCAGTCAATTAAATCAAAGCGCTGTCATAATTGAGAGACAGATGGAAAATGATTCGCCCGCTCGGCAGCTGCACTAAACTTGTTTGATGTGAAATGCTATCTTTTTAGTATTACTGAATTGATTCAATGAAACCAAGTTTCGAAAGTCGAACCACCTGCAGCAATGATATTTTAGTCATTATTATCATCATCATGGTCATCGTTATCTCATTAACTCCTACTTAGTGAACTAACATTGAATTTAAGGTCCAAATCAGCAAATGGCCAAGTCACAGAATTGGCCCGATTTAAAATATGGTATGAGAGATTATCCTATATATTCTATATACTATACCTATAGCATCTTTTTATACTACATACATATTTATATATCCAGTTCATGTTTATGCCTCTTCTGTATCATTAGCTATTATCTCTTCCAAAGTAAATGGGAATTTGACAGAGAACCTCCATATTAACTATTCTTACCGTTGCGGTCTCGATACAGTCTTATAAATAGTATGTTAAAGATTCTGAAGTTGTTTCCGCTTCGCGTGTGTTCTTATACTATTTTTCGGTTAGCAAACATCTTACATTCTCTCTTTTTATGCTTATCGGGACGGCGATGTGATCTTTACTGATTGGGACTCCTCCGTCGAGTCGGGGCTCTGAACTCAAACTAAATTCGTTGGCGTGTCGCTTGGCGCTATTTTAACGATTTTTGTTTTTGTTTTGCTGTTACTAGTATTATTTATTTTTTGTTTAATTTTTTAATTGTTTTAGATTTTCGCGCGTGTTTGTCGTTGGGCATTTCAGACAGCCCGCGGCTTTTAAAATGAATGCAATTGGAAAGTGTCTTATATTAATAGTTTTTTTTTATTTATTAGCAATGGGCATGCGATTCTTTTCGGGGCGTGGGAAAGAATATTATAACCGGTATAGCAATAGAAAATGTATGCAGATTTTAAAAGGCTTAGAACGCATTTTCAGATTCAGTGATACAAGGATGAGAGGCGTGCATTTATATTACGCCGACAACCTTATTTTTATTAATCAATTTCAATTGTAAATAAAATTTAATTTATACAAAGCTCACATTGCGCATACGTCGCGTGTGCCCTTGGTTCACGACTCAGAGCTTGATGAGAAAGAACGTAAGTGCACTATTCGGCGGTGGCCGACTAGGCAATACCCTGGCCGACCTTTCGTTCGAAGCATCTATAAATTGACGCTGTGAGCGCCTTTATATTTGCTGTTTATTTGGGCGAATCGACTTAAATGAAGGTCATGAAAATAAATAAGGAAAAAGTATAATAATAATAATACTTTATGTAGCTATTACAGCAAAATCATTTCTACTGTTTACCCATTATCGCTGAAATCGAGATACAGCGATAAGAAAATAACCGAAAACGAAGCCAAGTCGAATAAATTGTACTGTCTCTGAAGACATATTTGGTTTTTCGATTTCATTATACAAATTGATGGGTGAGGGTATAGTTGAACATTTCTATAACATCGCAGAAACGACCTACGCTGTGATTAAAGACGTAGCTTGTATAGCTTGTGTTCATTGCATAAAACTTAGCTCATCCGCGCATTTTCTGAGCTCTAACACGCAACTCTATTCAAATTGTGAACATTTTTCAGATTTTTCAAATCAATTTGAATTAAGCCCCAACTAGTGTGTGCGAGTGCGACTTTGAAACACCTCGACACGGTGATCTTTAGGCCATGTGTACCGTGTTCTATCACCTGTACAGTGAGTATATAATTGCACCTGGAAATTCGCTAATTAGGCATGTACTTTAATGAATAAGTAGGACAGGTATATATGTATAAATTTATTTAAAAAAAAAATAAAAAAAAAAATATATATATATATATATATATATGTATATATGGCTTTTGTGGAAAGGGAATTAACGTAGAACAGGAGCAGAAGAAGTTACCTGTTGATTGATTTATTTTGCCGGTCT